CTCCGGACTAAATCCTGTAACTTCTGACTAGGAACAGTTGCTCAGTTACTCTCTCAAATGTGTTCCCACTTACAGGTTTTATGTCAATAGGAACGACTTCCTGTAAGTTCTGACTAAATCCTGTAAACCGGACTGCTATTGGAACAGACTAACTAATTGCGTACAACTTAAGCTAGACAAAAAAAAAAAAACACATAGTCGATGATTATTTACAGTTTTGGTTCTAATTAATAACTAAATTAATGAGATTACATTCACTTAAAAATAAGCCATACATCATAATTCTAATAAACTAAAAGAAAAAGTGTAACTAAGTAGCACATCATTTAGATAAAAGGAGAAAGCAAAAACATTAGATTTAAACTTAAGCTTAGATTATAATCGGGATCCAGTGACATGAACCTTTGCAGTGGCAATAAAATTTTACGTTTATAAGAAAACTTGAAAATCTATTTCTGTGCGCATGTTAATCATATGGGAAATGAGAGTTTTACATTCTTTTTGCAACAATTAAAGACGGCTAGTAATTACCTCAGTTTTTGTATATATTCGGTCTGTAAACACACCTAGCAAATTATACGAAAAACGATAAATTTTCAATTAGTTACATAAATATAACCCTATACAGTCTATATTTTAATGTCCAGCAAATATTTGACTTCGGCAAAAACAATATTGAATTTGGAAAAAATCGAAATGGTTGCAACTTTATTTCTTAGTAAATTTGTTTGCTTCTCGAGGCAGTGATTCATCCTTTGCAAGGCCCAGTAATCAGCGTTTGTGCTGCTGTGTTAGGCAAACGTTCCAAAAGCTGCTAAATATTCAATCGCATGGTTTCACATGCAAATAGATTTTGATCATTTAAAATTTATGCGAGAAGAAATTAAGAATGTTTAATATTTTAGAGACCAAATAATGTGAAAAAATTAAATCAGCTGCTCTACTGATACTACCTGTTCAATATGACTGGGCCCTAGTCGAATTTGATTTTATGTTTTTTTTTGTGATTTCTTAATTCCGCAAAGATAAAACGCGAAGTGGATTGGAATAATAACATCGGTCAACAAAGAATAACCGGTAAAAAGTAAAATAAAAATGGGGAAGAACCACTTTTTCTAACTGAAAATTTTCCGAAACGCTTGAAAAATGCAATATCTTTTGTAATTTAAGTAGCGTTCTGCTTTAAGAGGACTAACTGAGCGTTTTTTCAAAAAGAACTGAGGCCATTTTTGTATACATATATGTGACCTGGTCTACGGAAAGGGGGCTTAGGTGTCAAAAAATCAATTTTCACTTTTTGGTTGATTCGGATGGAAGATGAGATGCTTTTTCGCGTGGTGAAAAGCAGAAAATCCTAACTTGCTTAGAAGTGTACTAAAAATGTAGAGAAAGAAGAGTAAAAACGAGTAAACGAAACGAGTTGCTTACTTTTAACAGCTTTTTCACAGAAAACTAGTTTTTGCACGTAAGCTCCCTTTTCGTAGACCAGGTCACATATAGTACGATCATTTGATAAATACATCTTTATGTCTATGTTCTAGACAAATCCATGTTGCAAGTTTGCAATTTGTTTTTCAAAAATGGTGTTATATGAGACTAACAAAAATACAGACTGGTTATATCGACTTCTCTCTTCATTCTGATCGTTGTGGTATACATATCGAGTCCAGCGCCGAAAAAATGTTGTCGAATTTTTTTAATAAATCCCTTTTTGATACAAAACTAGATAAACTACTTAGATGCATTTCTGCATCAAAAAGAAAATTTTGAAAGAAATGTTGCTTCCGTTTTTATTTTCGGTTAGGGCTCGATATGTTAAGCTTTTACAAACAACTGTGTACTATCT